GTATCGGTGGGACGATTGTTACTGTAATGGGTCTGGCGTGCATCTCTGTCTGATCAGGGCCTTCTCCAGGATGCACCCGTTTTCCCTGTTGGACTGTGGATGCAAGACTGTGAATGGAATGGAAAATCTTGCGAAAACCCAGTTGCACCAGGCTCATCGACTCATCCCCCTCTGTGTCTAGAGAGGACAACGCAATTTTAAAGTTGTATCCATGACGCGCCGGGAAAGTCATGCCTTCAAGCAATCGCACCTCTCCATGAGTAACTTCACACAGGGTCTGTGTTGTCAAAGGCCTGCATTGCGGGGTGACATCAGCCTCTGTAAGCAGGTCCTGATAGGACACTTGCGTAGGCAAAAGCGTACAAAAAAAAGTGGGATGCCATGGATCTTCCATGAGCTCGGTGACAGTCACAAGAGCCGTGCGTGTGTCAGGCAATGGGCGTTGGATGACAACAACATGTGCAATCGTGTCAGGGTGTCCACCTGAAGCTCGGCCCTTTGAAAAAAATCTACTCTTGGTCCTCCATGAAATGCCGCTGTGAAGTGAAGTGCAACCAATCCAGGCCGAAAGCCTTGCTCAAGAATTACATGGACAGTGGCCTGACTGTGCATAGGGTAGGCTGGCAAGGTCGCACAATCAAAACTCGCATGGGTTCTTCCCTGGCTATGTGGTCAAACCAAACTGTACAGAGATCAGCATACCAAAGGTTGTCCAATCTGACTAGATGTGGCGCAATGCATTCTGGGAAATGTACGTGGTGAATATACGAAACGTCGACATCCAGCTCTGGTCCAGTCTCTGCATTGCGTACGAATGCCATTTCATCAAACAGCGACGACAACTCCAGTGCCCATCGTGGTGTTTCTCTGACTCCTTGAGCAGGTGAGTAAGGAAGGAGGCTCGATAGTTTGTTCCTGGGAACATTTAGCCTCTCTTGGACCCAGTGGTTCATGAGGATCGGTTTCCCCGGTGCAACTGATTGCTGAATTAAGATCTGGAATCCATCTCCATGTCCCATGTCATGAGTGGGTCGAAGAGTGTTGGGGATCTCCTGTCACCTGTATGTGATTTGACAAGTCTTGTGACGACAATGACCGGCAGCGTCAGCAGCTTGTATGATGTCGTAGCCACTGACTTGTTCTGCAAAAGAACAGGCGACGGAAAAAACCTCAAAATTTTGCAAGGATCCTGGCCACACGGCCAGCAAATCTAGGAAGGTTAAGCGACTGCGTAATGACAAGGTCAAGGACAACATGTCTGATACCTGTGGCTCTTGGCGGATCAGGTTCAATGATGGTAATGTCATACCAATCGTCAGGATCAATTTGATCGACCCATAGGGAACTGAATTGCATCTCCCAGCCTTGTGGCGGGCCAACAGGCTGGAGAATTCTTGGTGCAGTCCATCTCCTGACGGTGGCGTGATCGATGAACCATGTCCTGACTGGTATTTCAAAATCAGGATCTTCGGGGTCATATCCTGCTCGAGCAATGCGGTCTGCTAAATCCGAATTGAATGCTGGTGGCACAGGATCGTCATGGTTGAGATCATTGTCACCATCGTCAGCGTCATCTTCATTGTCATGAGCACCCGGTACCCAAGTAATGGGACTTTCAAAATCTCTTCTGAATTGGGCCTGGGGCACGCTCGAGTATTTCAGAGCAGAACAAAATGCATCAATGCCAATGTTGCAAAGGAGACAGTCAGGGTCATGTGACTTAAAAAGATGACCCTTGGGACTGTGCATGCAAACCCAAAAAATGTCGTACAAAACTGCTGGCGACCATCTGCTTCTTGTGAGGATGATACATCTGGCCTAAGGAAGGCAAAAATAGGGGTTGCAAATCCCTAGTGAAAAACTGTACAATCCAATGCCAAGACGAATCATCGTGCAGGTCAGTTAGTGGCAAAACTTCGGCTTGAACCTCTTCGGGCTGAGCCATGGGACTGACAGATGTAATGTCAGGCTGCGCATCTGAGTTGAAACAATCGGGCATCTTCGTGTCGACAATTTCGGACAATTGGATCAAACCTGTGTGAGTGCATCGGCCTATATCACTTTGATGAATCGGTGCAGAATTTGTGTCTCCCTTAGACATCAAAATGTGAGGGTCATCAAGTGAGTGCTGGTCGTGGGAACATGCCTTGGGCAAAAGAGACCAAGGTTTGTCAGGTTTCCAAAGGGATGCATGAGGAATTGTAAGTTGAACCATGTATAATTCATCATCATCACCGATGTGAAGGTCAACTTCAGGAGCAAAATTCATAACACGGGTGCAGGTATTGCGCAAAGCAGAACGTCTTCCAAGGCCTCGTGGAGAACCTGAGAGGTTATGAACAAAGGGCAACCCTTCATGCAAATCTTGAGCAACTTGTACACTGAGATGAAAAGCAAGGTCCAATGCTGTCCATGGATCCTTGAAATCGGCTTCAAGCGTAAAAATAGATGTTCTTATCATTCTATAGTTGTGCTCATCAAGTGCATCGGGCTACAGGGCTTCCAAACATCATTCGCCGCTGCGCTACGCTGCATCTGAGGAACGTCGTGGTGGTGAATCCAGGCCATGAACCTTGGGGAGGGTCTTTCTACTACTGCGATGCTTGTTTGCAGTGTGCCTTTGGGATTTCTAATGATTTCTATGTCATTTCGTGCCAACCAGCGCAGGTGTTGATTTTCGGATATGCAACTCAACCTGCCAAGGGGCACAGGCCTACTGTGGCCCCTGGCATGTGCATGGTAGGGAATGGGAGCTGGTACCTTCTTCGAAACTGAGAACAGGCATCACTGAGAGAGAGTTCCTGACCGCAAGACCATCCACCCTTGAACCACCAGAACCTTTCCATGTCCTGTTCCGACCTAAGGAAGGTGTCAATGGCTTGGCACTGAATGGGACCACGCCACTTCCGCCATGCTTTCAGACCAGTGCTTCTACCGTGTTGACGACCTAAGAAATCTGGTCGCCACACCTGAGGGGGCTGTGTGAAAAAGGCCAAATGAATCAAAACTGCTTACACAATCATTACCCAAAGGGTCGCCTTCATTGAGGGGCCAAAGAGCAATAGACCTGGCGATATTTACTCGGACCCCCAAAAGAAAGCTTGCTGGCACCCGGTTCTGCTGCAGCGGGTTCGGATGGCGAAGCAATTCTTTGGCGTTTTTTGAGTTGATCTTCCTCTTCCTGCTGCACAGCTTGCTCTGCTTGCGAATGCAGTGCTTGAAGGCTGGTGCTGAGGCTGGTGAAACTCTCGGCAATGCGCTTCCCTGCTGCTGTTTGCGAATCCTTGTTGACAAGCTCTTCTGAATCGCTTTGCATGGCATGATCTTCTTTCTCGTCTAAGCCTGCTGCCACTTTGCAGCTGCAGAGGTTTTCTTTTGCGGCAGTTAGATTTTCTTTGGCTGCTTGGAGTCGCTCTGTCAGGAGCTTCTCCTGTTCCATAAACTGCGCTGCATATTTCTGCCACTGCTGTGCTGACTGAGATAAACAGTTTCTCCATGCTGTGTGCATTTGGAAGCGCGCTGACTGCGCCTCCTGCACTTCCTTTTTCGCGCGTCCGTGTTGCGAAACGGCCGAGTGCAGGAGTTTTGTCTCTTCCTGTCCAGAGCGGACATGCATCTCTTTCATCACTTGTTGCACGTTGTCTGGTAGTTCCTCTGTGTGCTTCTTCAGTGCTGCGACCAGAGAACGGAATTGCTTGTCCTTCTCTTTGTCGGAGTTGCTTTCCCCACTGGCAGCTGCCGGCGCAGGCCGTGAGAGTGTAGGCGTGATGTTGGGATTCATCCATGGCGGCTCCAAAGCTGAAGTAGCAGGGAAGGGTGGTGGCTGAAATTGAGGCACATCCTCTACTGGCTTGCCTTTGCCCTTTCCTTTGGAGACAGCGTTCTTTCCATTTGCACGTTTGGACCTCTGTCTTGGCGATTTCCTTCTGCGCGGAGGTTGAACCCATTGTGAGGAATCTGCTCTTGCTCGTTCCATCTGGTTTGATTGTAGTTCCGTTGCACTCGTCTTTGACTGTGATCTCGCTTGGGTGACACAAAATGAGGATCGTAACAGTTCCTCCATTCTTGTCCACAACTGCCACAGTATGCATGTGATCCACTGCAGATCTTTTTGCATGGCGCACACTTCCATGGTTCTACCACTGCAGGCTCCATGGCTTAAGAAATCTGTGCAAGGAATGTCTGATCTTTTGAATGATGAGCTTGGAGCGTGTGTCGTATACTTGGCAGCTTCCAGCTTGGCAATGGAAGAGTCTTGGTTTTGTGCAAGTACCAAAGTCGCCTGGCGTTGGTTCGTTTTCTTCTCGCTGCTCGACGTTGCATTGATGTAGCCGTTGTAGTACAAGCTTGCGTCTTCGCACGAGACAAGTGGATACAAGGCGTTGCAGTCAAACACAATGTGACAATGGTAATTGCAAAAATGTAAAGTGCGATCACCAACAAAATTGAGCACATCCACGATGTGACCGAGCCAGAAGATCAAATGGGAGCTCACCCCTGTAGAAAAACTCACTGTAAGGCCAGTGCAGAGCCAGAGGAAACCAATCACTGTGAGGCGAGTGCAGAACCAGTAGTAAGACAAAAGATCAATGAGGAGGTCCAAATGTCCAAGCGTAAATGAAGAGCACAGCGGTAGACAATGTCAATACCAACTTAATGCAGGTTCACAAGTGGGGACAAATGGTGCACCAGGCAAATTGTGAAGTGTCCAAAAAGTCAGCCTATTGAAAAGCAGTGACAAAATGGAGCAAAGGCGATATGGCAAATCACCCGTGGGTCACGGCAAAGGGTACCCACTAAGGTGTAGACGGCAAACGCGCTCGAAAACTAACCGAGGGGCGTTCGAGCCGACGCCTTCCTTTTACATCATCCCAAATATGGATATAGCCAATAAACCTCCATTGGGGCTGGTGTATTCCTGTTTTTTTTTAAATCACATTCTGGATTTCTCGGGATTGATTTACCATGACTTCACCATCTCTAGGGATTTCGCCGCCAAGGAAAGCTGGCCGGATTCAGCATTGCCATGGGTGGCAATATGACCGAGACCGAGTCCACCAGCATGATGCTGGGCAACGCCACGGTCACCGTCAGCACCACCGTGACCACCGTCGTCACCATGACGGACACCGCCACCGATACCACCGTCGTCACCGTGACTGTGACTTGGCACCGCCAGGTCTGGATGTTGAAAGTGGGTCGACTGACGGTTGATTTAACCGACAGAGTATCATGGGAAAACCATCGGAAAATGGTGATTTAACCAATAAAAATGGAGATTTAATGGAATTTACTATTTTGAAGTGGGTTCAGAACTAGGTTAACCAACTAATGGTTTGTGGTTAGTGGTTAAAAATGGGTATTAATAATGGTGCATGTTTAATGGTTGAAGGTTAGAAACTGTTAAACCGTTAATACCAGTAGTACCGCACAAGGCGGTAACGGAAGTTTCAAAAATAGGAAACCTATAGGAGAGGTTGGTTGTTGTGAATCACGGATGGCAGAGCAAAGCCACTGATGGACCGACAGGTGGTTGAGGTCTCTTCTCTTTCTCTCTCTTTCTGTCTCTTTCTCTGACTATCTACTTACCTACCCACCTATCTATGTATCCATCTATCTCTCTCTCTCTCTGTGTCTATCTATCTATCGATCGATCTATCGATCGATCGATCTATCTATCTAATCTAATCTCATCTCGTCTCATCTAATCCAATCTAATCTCATCTGATCTTTTTAATCTAATCTAATCTAATCTTATCTTATCTTATCTTATCTAATCTATCTATCTGTCTGTCTATCTATCTATCTATCTATCTGTCTATCTATCTATCTATCTATCTGTCTGTCTATCCTATATCCTATCTATCCTATCTATCCTATCTATCCTATCTATCCTATCTATCCTATCTATCCTATCTATCCTATCTATCCTATCTATCCTATCTATCCTATCTATCCTATCTATCCTATCTATCCTATCTATCCTATCTATCCGATCTATCCTATCTATCCTATCTATCCTATCTATCCTATCTATCTATCTATCTCTATCTCTATCCTATCTATCCGTCTGTCTGTCTGTCTGTCTATCTATCTACCTGTCTATCTGCAAGCTTGAAAACTAAGCAATTCTGCGAAACTTCCTCAATTTTGGAACTTGACAACATCAAAAACAAAGCAATTCTGCGAGACTTCATTCAAAAATGGAAAGTTGAGTGCAGCGCTGACAGCCTCGTACCAATGCGTTTTGCGATTTTTTCACTCCACCTGTCTAAAGTACTGCACCTGCCACGAACAATTGATGCCAGGTCATACGAAGTGCTGCGCCTGTCACGCAAAATCATTTTAGCAAACCTACAGATCTGATGCTCCAAAATGCAACCCCTCTCAGGAAATCAGCGCCCTGACCTCCTAACATCTCTCATGAACATGTCTTTTGTACTGCACCTGCCACGGAAAATGCATCTTTGCAGATCCTCTTCAAACGTCCCACGCCTGCCATGGTTTTTGGAAATGGCACAAAACCCTCAAGTTTTGCTCACTTTTGACAAGGTGCACAATCCCTTGCGCCTGCCGCGCGAAACGACATCTGAACCTCCAAAAGTGGTGGTATTTTGTATATGTGACTTCGAAATGTGCTTCGCTTCACAACGGCGTGCACTTTTTCGACATCTCCACTTCCAAAAGTGGTCCAAGCATCGTGTGTTTTGTACATTTTCACTTCGAAATGTGCTTCGCGCCACAACGGCGTGCACTTTTTCGACATCGCAACTTCCAAAAGTGGTCCGGCGCTGGTGTGTTTTGGACTTGAAAATGTGCTTCGCGCCACAACGGCGTGCAATTTTTCATCTCTCATCTGGCCAGATGGCTCCACACCCGCCGCTTTAGCGAGCCTACTTTTCGACCCTCCACAGCCACAAATCATTGGAAAAACACAGTGTTTCGCGACCTTCCTACCTTTTCGCGCACCTGCATCTTCTTTCTTCTTGCTCTTTCTCTTCTCTGATCTTCTCTCTTCTACTCTTCTCTTCTCTCTGACTCTTCCCATCTCTGCTTTTCATCTGTCCATATTGTCGAAAGTTTGACTTCTAAACTTCCTTCGATTAATGGTTTAACCACCTGGATGGGTAGAAACAAATCCTGAATAGCCTTTTGGCATGGGATGATCTACGTTCACCAGCTAAGAATTTGTCATTTATTGTAGATTATCTGGCTGATTGGCAATGATTACTCATTAAATATCCCATTATTTACCATAATAATTAATAGTCATTAAATATCACCAGTTTGTAGGGTATCTCGCCACGTAGAATTTCTCTGGAAACCAACTCTGGCTGCTGGTTTTCCATGGGACGATGAGCCAGTGGTGAAGGCTAGCAATGACGGCATGGATTGTTTTATTCGGCATGTTTGGATGCTTCAACATGGAGATTTTTGGCAGGCTATCGCTGTGACAGGAGGTCTTTCCTGGCATTCAGACCTCAAATGTCCATCAGTTTGTTGAACTTGAAAGTTTCTCAGCATCGAATGGGAAACAATAGCTATCACCGGTTTAATGATAGTTTCATGGTAGCTTAATGGTAGTTTCATGGTAATGGTCATTCATAAGGACATCATGTGGGACATCATGTGGGACTGTGTTCGGGGATTCAATGAGGTTTCATATGGGATTTTGATGGCGATCATATAATTTTTCATGGGATTTTATGGTAATGATAGATTTCACCAACACAAACGGGGATATCAATGGGAATTACCCTTTGGTGACGAAAAATTTGCACCTTTTTTCAGCGATGACCAAAATATTTATCGACAAGGTGAGGCGCCCCAGTGATGTGAACGTTGGTTTATAAACTCATTCATTGTAGTCATATCTAGGTTAATATTGGATGGGTACAACAAACTAATCCTTTAGTCTTTTGGTATGGGATTATCTACTAACTACCCAGCTAAGAATTTGTCATTTTTTGCAGGGTATCTGGCTGATTCGCCATGATATACCAAATAAACCCGAGTTAACCAAGTCATGTGCGTCAACTGAACGCTATCTAGGGTGGATTGTCATGGATTAGCCATTGCTTTTTGTTGACTGCAGAGTATAGAGCTTAAGATCCATTTTGAAACCAACTACCAGCGTCCCAGGAGGAAAGTAAGTGCCTAGTAACCATAGTTCACCCATGTAAAATTATAGGATACAGTAGGATCAATTATATTAAAAACATGGGACAACATGGGATTTCACCAATTATATAGTGGGAACAATTCATGGGATAATTACATAATGCGATACTGCGATCAAGTGATGCTTGCTGGTTTTTCTGGACCCCATTGTATAGCTAGGTCGATGTTTTTCGCATGCACCCAACAACTGCATTACTGTAGTTCTAAACCAACCTTGCTATCTATGGGGAAAAAAACCTCGTATGCCAAGATCCCACTATTGCCCTGCAAACAGCCGTTCTTCGTGGTATTTTTTTCCGATGTTTTTTTTCTCCGAGCCATGGTTTTTCAGGTCCAGTAAGATGACAGCCGATCATCTTCCAGTGGACCCGTAAAACGCTTTGACACCAAAGGATTGTTCCGTATCTCCTAGCTCCAAAAATTGGTGGAAAAATCCCATTTTGGTGGAGGTGGAAAAATCTTTCAGTCCAAGATTTCGACGCCCTGATGGTTTTTACATTGGGAAAATCATCCCAAAAGACCATCTGGGGGTTTCCAAAGTCAGGGTACCCTAATAGCTGGATGGTTGATATATGTTGATATGGAAAAAACGATTTACAAATGGATGATGAACAGGGGTCCCCCCCATTTTTGGGGAAACCCCCATATCATGGGATTTTACGTAGAAACATGAGGATCCATCTAGAAATCAAGACGGGGATTTGAACTTCGAAAAGACGGGGGCTTTTACCAGAATCATATGGACATAAGAAAGCAACAAAAAAGATGCCGATCGTAGTTCTGGGTAAATTATAACGACCTCACTACGACCTCACTGGAATAATGGTTAGTAAGGAAATCATAGCAAAATGACCTTAATTCAGGTGGATGAACTATTATAATTTACCCAGATAGTTGCTCGCCTGAATGTACCAAGAACTACCTGTGAAAGTCAAAGAACAACCCAATGAGATGAATATGGACCAATTGCTGAGCGGGCTTCGCAGGGTATGTAATCCCATCCAATATTACACAGCCCCTAAACAAAACCATGGTGGATGGAGGGACTTTCCACATATTTGGAACCATCCAATGGGGGTGTTAGAAAAATTAGGGGGATGGGATGAGTCGTCCCGGCCACCAAGTGTTCCACAAGTGGATACATAGCCATACTTGTAGGGCTCTCCCAACCATAGATGTCCCAAATTCCCATTGGTTGGTTGATTAATAGAGGGGATGAAGGTTTACCCCTTTAACAACAGGTTTCTATGATGATAGATGGTATACCAGCCCCTCTATTTTTACCAAAAGGACATGATTGCTCCCAACTCCCAAAGGGCTCTCCCAACTCCCACCTCGTGAGGCTTATTGCCATCGTTGCAGCCATTTTTCCATCCTAAGTGCACACCCAAGTAAAGGAACCAAATTCATTGGGCCAAGTGATGTATCCACATTTTTGATGGCCCAAACAGTTATAAGTTGATTTAGTTCCCCCACCTATCCATAGATGGATATGTATATTATTATTATTAATTATTATTATTAATTATTATTATTAATTATTATTATTATTATATAATATATATATATATATATTTGCCATAAGTCGAATCGTTAGCCTAGTATTTACACACAGAAATCACATAATCCCTTCCCCCAAATATTAGATACCCCTCCAACGAAACCCTGGTGGAATGTATCTATTCACTTCATTTTTTTGGGCCCAAACATAGGGGGTCTTGAATATCATCCGAAACACAAAGGAGTGCCCCCAGATCCATTGGATAATGTGATCATACTTTCCCTATTTCCAAATAACAATTTTAATACCGAAAAAAACAAACAAACAATTTTCAGACATACCCTTAAATGATTGTGTAACTTCAACTATAGCCTATAGCTCATTCATATCCCATTAAATCTCATAAATATCTTCAAGTCACTCCCAGATCATCCATATTCACGTCGCTTCGCGACGGCAACCGCCCGCACCGCATCGTTGGGCAGCCGCTCGTAACTGCCAATGATGTCGGCCATTGAGACCAAAAACATCCGAAAGTACTGATTGTCGGAAAAAAAAACGCGAAGAATTTGATAGCCATGTATAGCGGACCAACGCAGTTCAAAAAATAACGAAAAACATGAAAAAACGGCGAAATTGCTGTTATTTACAGTGTTTTTGCGCGGTGAGAAGCAGAAACCACTGCAAATACCATGGTTTTTGAGGGTCAGGTGGCCAAAAACACTGTAATTTACAGTGTTTTTTTTAACCAACGTCAAAAAACACTGGTATTTACGATGTTTTCATTCACACCGTAACATAAAACAGCGTAATTTACGAGGTTTTTGGAAGTTTTGAAGCTAGCCGTCAAGCATGCAGAAAACAGAAAAACACTGTAAAAACCAGTGTTTCTGCTATCACAAAACGACGAAAATCAATCCGAAAACGGGTCCAAAAACTCAAAAATCCGCCTCCGGGCCCGGCCACCTGCGGAACCGCAAAAAAAGATGTTGCAAACCCAAAAATTGAGGTCAAAAAGTTAAAAAACACGTTTTTTTTTTCACTTTTCGCTTGCCGATTTTGGACGGGCGCGTTCACGAACAGGTGTCTTCCGTACTGTTTTTTACAGTGTTTTTTGAAGGCGAGCGTCACGACCTATCAAAAACAGGAGGTTTTGGCCGAAAAATGCCCCCCCCCCCCAGGTAAACCTGTAACCTTTTACGAGTGCCACCCGGAAGATCACGCCCCAGCACCTTCGGTGCGGGCGGATTTTATTTCATCGGATTTTCCATTAAAAAATAAACCATCCAGCTCTTGAGGTACCACTGGAAACCTCCAAATGGTTGTGTAACTTCAATTCCCCCATGTTTTTTTCCCCAAAAAATTGGACCAACCGAAACCGCCCAGAAACCTCAGAAACCTCGGGCCATCTAAAAATGATCTCCATAAAAATCTCTTGAAATCAGTTTAGATCCATTTAAAATGTGATATTTCAGATCTTTTTTTGGGTCCTAAAAAGGGCACCTCCCCGGAGCCCACGGATGCGCCGGAGGCCACCACGACGAACCTCGAGGGTTTCGGCGACGGCGGCGACGAGGGACCCCCGGATGCCGCCTGCCACAGCGGCCTGGCCTTCGGTGACTTGGGCGGAAGGGGAGAGGTGGAGGCCATGGCGGTCATGGGTTGAAGGCAGCAACTCCTAGGGATTTGACATGATTAGACCCCAAGAAATGTGATTCTCCATGGGATTCTCCATGGGATTTAAATATACAGTTGATCTAAGTTTAAGGTGACTTGGAACAAAGTTGGGACATGAAGGGGTTTTCATGTCATATCCAATGATCTATCATCATTTTCCGTAGTTGAATTGCCATTTTGCTCGCTCCATTCATGGGCAAAGAATGATCCAATGGGTTAATGCCACGGTTAATATATGGTTAACCATTTGAATCGGGATTTCATGGGAATAAAACGGGAATATCAAGGCTTCTTGGAAAATGTCGGGAAAACCCACAATAAAAATAGGGCTGATGGTCCTATTCCCCATGAATATAGTTGGAGGATCAGCCTTTGAAGAAATCCACAGGGATCGGGACCCTTCAGAATTCCAGAGAGTTTTGGGTTTATAAACGGAATTGTAAGTTGTTTATACAGCTTTGGTAACACTTTGGATAAACATGGTCAGCCATTGATATTCTCAGAGTCTATTATCAGCCAGAACGTTTATAATTGTTTATAATGGTTGATATCTTCTTAATTAGTCATTTGGAGGTTTCCTAAAATAGGGGTACCCCCAAATCATTCATTTTAATAGGATTTTCCATTATAAACCATTAACCATCCATTTTGGGTACCTCCATTTGTGGAAACCCCCATTTGTATTCAAGCGTTGTTGAGCATTTTCCTGGAAGCAGTGGAAGCCTCACAAGGACGGATCTCGATCCAACTAGAGGCATAAATAAGATTGCGCCAGGGTATCGGCGCTAAGAATTCGCCGATGGTTTAGATTCGCGCTGTATTTGATTGGATACACCATGGTATATATATATATATATACATATGAAACTGTATATACATGCATACGTACATACATACATACATACATACATGCATGCATGCATACATACATACATACATGCTATACACTTACGCATACATGTAACATAACAAAAAACAACATAACAAAACACACCATAACATTCCATTACCATATACCATTTAAAATGACCATTACCATGGAAACATCACCATACAGTTCCCTATTAAGAGATGGCCACAAATTGAGGAGAAATCCTAATTTTTCGACACCCAGGCCATATGGATATATATATATATGGTTAATAAGGGAAATCATCCCCTTTTATGGCCGCAAGATTCAGGTTAGTGAAATATTGCAATTTACCCACACATATATATATATATACTGTGAAACTTGGATGAGGCTTTGTCAAGCCCATTGCCAGGAAAACAAACGAAGGGTTCCGGAGTCTCCGCTACTCACTGCACGCAGATGGGGGCTGACTGTGTATGCAACACCCTGGTCCCAGAAACGGGGCCGCCATTTTGGAAGACTTTCCTTCTTCCGGAAATATTGCGGCCCCGTTTTTGGGGCCGGTTTTTGGCACCATTTTTGGGACCACGAAAGAGCAAACAGGAGCTGCTCACGGCCCGGATTTCGTCCATTTGCTGGCGCCAGCCTTCCTTCTGCAATGCAAGCCGCCATGGACACACACATCCGTATAATACTGTGGTTAATTGTTGGCTAGTGAAAAATCCCATGACATCCCCATCATCCCATCAATTCCGAAATTTTCATGGTGAAATAAATCCAGGTTGATTACTTTGGGGGGATGACTCCCATGATGCCTCCAATTGAACAGACCAGGATTGATTAATCCGTAAAAAATATTTCTTGAATTTGGCATCCTAGAGGGATTCCGGGGTTATAACATTAGATCATATTGAATCTCATGAAATCTTCATGAATCCGCATGACATCTCCATGAAGTCCCATGAAAAATACCAGGAAATTCCATGAAAAATCCCCATAGATCGTCTCGAGCAGCCATCGCAGCCAGGTGTGCTTGCAACCTTGGTCGGACTGATGTGACCTTGAACCGATTTTGGTCGGAAGGTACCTTGGGCTACAAACTGCTGGGTAGCTATGGACCAATAATTGCTATCATCACTGAGATCTATTTTATCGATTTTGGCGATTATTTTTGTTGTGTTTTTTTTTGCTGTTCTGACTATTCTTGTTGTTAAAGATAAGTCGCAACTTGTGGTGAACCAATGTTATAATGGTTGACAATGGGGATACAAACAACAACACGTAACATGTAGTGATATGAATGTATACCATTAGGTAAATTCTTGTATATGTTATAATATCATGGATACAAATTATGATACTAAACTACAATGAGTGTGTAGTCAATCCGGATACCCATGGAATGAAATCATAAATTATGCAGCGAAATTGCTGGCAGAGGTCATGATGGACGAAAATGGGGAATCGTTCCAAAAATGGGAGAACTTTCTGATTTGGGATACATCTGGGTAAATTATAACGACCTCACTACGACCTCACTACGACCTCACTGGAATCATGGTTAATAAGGGAAATCATCCCCAAATGGCCTTAATTCAAGTTAGTGAATTATGCTAATTTACCCAGATACATAGTTTGACCAGATATCTCGGTAGACCAACTGGATGGCTAATCAGCTAATCTTTGGCTCAGGACATCAATCGGATTGGGAAACCAAAATTTTTTGGGGCTTTCTTACCCTCAGTTCGCCATGGTATAGATTGCCCATAGAAATAGAGGATTTTCCCAGCTATAAACCTCCATTTATAAAGGATTTTCCATGGCTATGTTAAATAACCAGATGATATTTGGACCTGAAAACAGCATGGGTCATTCCTCACGGGAAACCAAAGGTGGGGTATTCTATGTAAAAAGACAACCATTTCTCCGTAAGCACAAACATCAAGCATGGGGACTCGATCAAAATGGGCCTCGTGGTGAAGACGGGGTACACATGATGTTGCAGGGGTAAGTTTTGAAACATTTCCATAGAGTTTTTTTAAACCGATATTCCGCGATTCATTGACTTTTCAAGGGGTATTCGACACAACCCTCACAAACTTTCAATTTCGGTCCCCCAAAAAAATCGGGATACGGGATATATAATGATGTTCGTCTGATTCGCATCCTTTTAGTGGCCTGCCCAGGGAAGTAGGAAGTGGGGCTTCATACAACATCCATGCTGCTGTTTGCCTCGTGAACGAAGTGGATCTACAACACAACAACACAACAACACAAATCGTATACAATAGCTGGTTGGTGGTTTGGCACATGAATGGATTATGACTTTCCAGAAACAGTTGGGAATGGAAAATCATCCCAACTGTTACTCACTCAGATTTTTCAGAGGGCTAGGGTGAAAAACCACCAGCCAGTGAAACCGGGGCTGTACTGAGCGTACCGGCGGTGAATCCGCCGGAACTGTCCACATTCTATCTACTCCAGGATGACTATGCTGCATATTGTATTAGTTATTGTACATGGTCTATATACAGATATGATCAGATATGTATAATATATTATAATATGTATGTGTATATATATATATACACAGAGGATATGTTGGTGATCATGCCAGATTTCATCAATCCATTTGTTGAGTAGGAAGCCAGGGATGTCAGGGCTTTTAGGCAACCTCTTTTTTCCCCGAGGCAAAACGATACGAACTTCGGTGATTTTTGAAGCTCCGTAGACTGCGCTTTTCAGCACCGCAGATAGAACGCTTTCGACGGCAGGACACCGTAGACCTCCGTATAGACCCAACGTGGAATCAGAAGCCAACGTGGAGCTGCAAGGGGACCAGCACAATGTGGATCTCAGTCGATTTCAAAGATTTTTTTCATCACGACTTTTCCATCAGATTGTATTTACCCTCTGGTAAAGTAACAAAAAACTATGGAAAATCACAATTTTTAGTGGGAAAATCAACTATTTTGACATAACCAGAGGGTATAATGTCTGGATGATTTCTGCTTGGACGAAGACTCTTATCATTCAGATATTCTTCAAATCTAGGATTACATAGCGGCGCCAATATACTATTTTCAATAATCCATAGCACTTCCAATCGCAAACTAAATGCCCTGATATCCAAACTTTTACGGGATAAAACATTCGTCAAGTTTGGGAGTCCAAAATTTTTACCAATAGTGAATTGCCAATCTCAGTGGATCAAACTCTAAAAGACATGCGCAAGACATTGTCCCGCGAGAGTTCGGAACGTTGCCATGCCACATAGGGTGGACCTACAGTCGAGGTGGCTCAATCATCCCGGTCAACTTTTTATCAAAGAATGAGCGGTTTCTTACATGGTTTAACCTCTGGTAAACATAGAAACAACATCAAACAACTATGGAACATCACCATGCTATTAATGGGTAAATCCACTATAAATCACCATTTTCTACGGAAAATCCACACTTTTTCATGGGTAATTCCCCCATAACTGGGCAATTTTCAATCGCAAGGTGCAAGAGTTTTTTGTCGACGGTGAACATCTTGGATTTCACAGTAGAATCACTGTGTTACCCATGATTTCTATGGTGGTTTCCTGAAATCGGGGTAGCCCCATGGCATGTGGAGGTTTTCGAAGTCATGGGGCTATTCCCAAATCCATTTATATCATTTATCAATTTATTTTTATCGGATTTCCATGTATTTTCTTCCACCCATAACTCAGCGTAACTCAGGGGTACCCCGACCAACACGACTTGGAAGACATCACGACTATTCACGACCAACGATTTGGATGATGATGAAATGGGTGTTATGATATGATATGTTCTGTTCTAATACGTTATGTTGTGTTATGTTATGGTTTGTAATTAAATGTTATAATATATATATATACACATCTATGTGATGTAATGCAATGTAATGCAATGTAATGCAATGTAATGCAATGTAATGCAATGTAATGCAATGCAATGCAATGCAATGCAATGTAATGCAATGTAATGCAATGTAATGCAATGTAATGCAATGTAATGCAATGTAATGCAATGTAGCTTAATGCAAGGTGACGTAACGCAATGGATGCACACACACATATATAATATATATATAATATATATAATATATATAATATATATAATATATATATATATATTATATATATATTATATATATTATATATATTATATATATTATATATATTATATATATATATATATTATAATATATAATATATATATAATATAATATAATATAATACAATATAACATAACATAACATAATGTAACATAACATAATATAATATAATATAATATCATATGATATAATATAATATAATATATATATATTATTATTATTAATGATAATAATAATGATATATATATAGATATACATATCTATTACACACACACACATTCTATATATGTTTATTTCATTTCTTGCCAGTCTTGGGCGATGTTTTGGGTTCCCAGTTTTTCAGCAAACCGGATGGGATCTGGCAAAAAAGCTGATGTTTGAGCCGGCTTTTTCCTTGATGATTACTTTCCGCTGCTGAACTGTGTCCCCGTATTGTTTGAATTTGTTGCTCCAATGGGGGTTCACCATGGTTCAACTGAAAAAGCAATCTGACCATGGGAATAGTATCAGACCATATCAGAGCAAAAAAAATGGATCGGAGATCTCCAAAGTGGTTTCAACAGCACATGACTGAGTTAGAGTTTTACCTTCAATTCTCCCAAGTTACGCGTTATCAATGGATTGGTTTAAGGGAAAAGCTTAACCGGAAAACGTGGTTTTTACATCTTTTTACCATCAAAAAACGAAGGGTGAATTCGGTTAGAATTCTCCCATGATCCAATCTCTGTTTTTTGGATATTGGTAGATGATGGTTCATATTTTCATGGAATTACTACCCTCTGGTAAACTGTTACATAACTATGGAAAGATCCAAATCACCATTTTTAATGGGAAAATCCACTATTTCGACTGGGTCATTTTCAATAGCTATTTTGACATAACCAGAGGGTAATGGGATATTTCGTGGGATTACCGACCACATCATCCAATTCTCTGTTCGAGATTGCTGGCGACGGGATCACAGGCCGCGCATCTGCAGGAACCGATCTAAAACCCACGCGACGAGATACATAGGGATGGGACTTTCAACTGCCTGCAATCCCAAGAATTCCCAAGACAAGTGGACCGAATTATATCAAATGGTTTTTTCAACCATAGTTAATCCATTAAAAAAAACATAGTTATCTACCATAGTTATGCAAATATCTACCATATTTCTAGTTCAACTATTCGAATTAGGTGAAGGTGAATCCAAAAATCAATGATTCCTGCAAAGAAAAAGATATGGCCGCAGGTTCAGTGTTTTCTTCAACCCAACCCTGCAAGGACTACGAAGGTTTCTGGCTGACGACTGGCTGGTGGTTTGTTGGTTGCCTGTATGGAGACGTCGAAACCGATGAAATTGCCATATGACTGGGAGAATAACCATCCAGCTATACCAGCTATACCAGCTATGACTTGTTGGGTACCTGATGTACTCTTTTTAGCCATCCCCAAATGAGCCATTAAGGATACCCGGATCCCATCTCATAAAAAACTGGTTGGCTGGTTTCCCTACTAGGTATCAAAATCCCCATTAAACCAGTACGTGGCCATTTTAAGTCAAGGGCGACTCTGCCATCAAAGGGTTCAAAAAAAGTGAGCCGGCCGGAAGTAGCCTTTGGCAATTAAACACCACAACGGAAAATCCCAATTTATAGATGATTTCCCATTGAAATACCCACTTGGTTCGAGGATCAGCGAATGTTTGATGACACCCGAGAGGTCCCCCAGCTACTAGGAAGTCCAAGGGGGGCAAAACTAGATGATGCTTCCTGTACACGCTGTTTCCCATGGCGAAGTCACATCGGAGTGCTAACATGGGCGAACCATGGGGATTGAAAAATAGGGCTTTTCCTATGACAGTCACGATAATTTCATGGTGGTTTCCAAGCGTCAGTTTTTTCCCAAGACATATCCATTGATATGGCTAGGAAATTCATGGGTCTCATTTTGGATGATTTGGGGGTACCACCATTTTAGGAAACTTCCATATTAGGTACTCCTCTATACTCCAAGAGGAGTACCTGTACATTTCCATAATTGCATGATTCTTTTTAGATGAATTTCCTACCACAGTTCCCATTGCCATGGTTTTTTCGTATCCACTTTGGGACGTTGCGTAACACTGACACGTTTGGGATCCATACCGTCGGATTGGTTCAAGGGAAAATTTATGGGTGATCCCCCCCATATTTCATGACAAAAACACCATGGGTTTCCGGTGAAGTATGTCCCTAAAACCAATCCGATGATACCCATCGAAAAGGGGTTTCCATAAATGAGGGTACCCCAAAATAGATGATTTTGAATGGACAATCCTATTCAAGTGGAGGATTTGGGAATACTGCCCATTTCAGAAACCCCCATATTACAATATCAGACATCTAACCTTGATGCCTCAACCACCAGCCAGAAGGATCTTTTTGGACCGTCTCACTAGCTGTAAAATTCGCTCGTTTCTGTGACATGAACGAAGTTTCGGTCGAGAACCATGGTCATCAACCCTCAACCCTTTGAGCAATGAAAAAAGGTGCGCGATGTTTTCCGGTCTTTTTTTGGGGTATCCTTTGGTGCCTGGAAAATCCTGCAAAATTGAGATGTGGATTTTCCATTGTGGCGTTCGACTCCCGGCATATGTTGTTTTACCTGGGACATTTGAAATCACTGTTGCGATTTCACCCATACGAGAAAAACACAGTTGATGTTTCGATCCTACTCAGATTTTGGAAGCTAACTTACTGTTTGCCATCCAGATATTAAGCTTGTGGCATCCAAGCTTGTATCACCACTGAGAGGATGACTCAGCAAGAGTAAGTGGAGAACCCTTAACAGTAAGTTGCCATGCCACGTGCGTCGCCATAAGTCATACCGGCTGCCGCGTGCACATCCGAGCCCCGGCTCCTGTGTCCTGCTCGCCCGAAGATCACTAGCTGCCATGGCCCTGAAATCGCTGTTGATCTTGTGCCAGCTGGGGTTGGTCGTGTCGCTCGCACCAGGAGCTGCCAGACGGGGACGGGCCAGACTAGGGGGGAACCATAGCGATTCTCCGCAGTGATATGGGGCCCCTGGGGCAGCATCCGTAGAACACCGAATCCACTGAGTTCGGTTTAGTGCGCCCATAAGACAAGTGGAGACTTCTTGCCACAAGAAAAACATGCTTTATTGGCGGACAGCTGACAATTCTTAGCATGGAACTATTGGAACTTACATGAAGTTTTCACCTCCGGTGCCATCAGCTCCATGCCGCGGGCCGGGAAATCCCCGAACACGGACAGCTCCCAGCCGTAAAGCTTCGACCCGTTCGGAGGTTCGGATGTGTTTTTTGGGGTCTGAAAGTATGGCACACTTATTCCATATACCAAAGTCTGTGCCTTTTTTGAAATCGCGTCCGAAAATTTCCAAATGGCTAGAACTTGGGGCATACCATTTCTGGACAAAGCCACAATTCTATTGTTGCATAATGTTGCTATATCCCATTCTTTCTATTAAATTCCCATGGTCAGATTCACACTTGTTTTTTGTTTGTAAAACGCACCATTTCTGAACCCATTTTGGCTTCAACATATCCCAAAGTCGGCAAGGAGACTGCGCCTTCGTCGGTATCTATGGGGACCAGGTGTCTTTCGGGGGTTGAGCATTAATTTTGGGTTTAAGCATGTTTAACTAACATATTTGGGTTAACATGGTCATTGACCTACTAATCTGCATAAGCATGAAACATTGGGATTTTATGGTAATGGGAATATCCTGAGATTAAAAATTGTGATTTTCCATAGCTATGTTGAATTTCCAGACGGTATATCATCGGAACACATTCTCCGAATAAATGAGACCAGCTCATCAAAATACGTTTAGTTTTGATCTGTCATGTCAACCCCAGATGAACACCTTGTTTTTTTTTGAGAGTGGCAGGTTGTCAGAGTGCGATTTTTCCATCATTTTTTATCATGTTCTGTTTTTTTTTGGGGTACCCTAGAAAGTGACCCCAGTTCCTATTGGACATGCACCCACTGTGAAAATTTTCGGGCCAACATCAATCCCTGCGGCAAAAAACCACTGGAATGAACCCATCAAACCCGATGGGCCATGGCCAGAGGGATACATCCCAAAGTCCGCCATTCTTCTTGGTCAAGTCCGTCTGAATCACCGTAGAAAATCACGTGAAAAATCCCAGAAAAATCCCAGGAAAAGTCCTTATGAACTACCATGAAACTAACATTCAACAAACTACCAGAAGGTCTATTCCAGGTAAAATGCTCAAATATTTACTTGGTGTCTCATCCCAGGGATCCTAAGTAGGTGAGTTCACCCGAGTTATTTCCGTGGATGGGTCCTCTACTTCTCTGAAAAAACCGGGGTGAACTAAGCTACTTAGGATTGGTAGTTTGCCACCAATGCTCAATGATAGGGGCATATTACTTAACTTACTATCCAAAATATGTGGATGGGTCGACCCTGTAACCCTAGGGGTCACATCCCCCAAAGGATCCACAGCCATATCAATTTCATCCAGCCGGGAATCCCATTCGCAGAGCGAAGAAAAACTTCAACAACCTCTCCGAAGTCAAAAGTGAGCAGTTAGGAACATCACCATTTAATAGCGAGGATTTTTTCAGCTATAAATCTCTATATAGTTCGGGGGTTTCCCAGCGGCCACGCTTGATGACGCCTTTTTGGCAACCTCCTGAAATTTCACCCTTGGGAAGCCATGGCATAATGTCAACCCCGGATTTTCCTAAACCCCGTTTACGGCTGTTTAATTGGGAGGCTACCATAAAAACGTATCAGATGAAATGACTACTGGAGGAGTACTTTCCTCGACCAGGGTTGAAAAACCAGGGTTGACATTGATGATGATCTACCTCTTGAAATGGCTAAAACCAAACGGGGGTTTTCCGGTTCGCAAACGGTCAAATTACTCGTAGCAGGTTAGGTATACCATTCGCCCGAGTTCTTCTTCCTTTTTTTTCGCCACTCTGGGAAGACTGGGATGACCTGCCTGGCAGGATGACTTTGCAGTCGTCTTGATGGAAGATGCCGATGGCGAGGTTCTGTCTTTGACAGAGGAGTACCCCACCAACGATCACTTCAAGGTGGGTTTTTGGCGGTGACGCCACGGATGGTTTTTACGGGCAAAAAAGTGTTTTTGAGTCCAGTTATATAGATGGAATATCCGCACTTCTATATGAGACTATATGGGTTATATATATATGGCATATATGGATTATACACCACTTACTAAGTGGGATGCGCATCCAAGTACTCATTGGTTACTTAACATACATATATGTGCCATTGTCAAAACTTGGGTGAATTGCTCAGTTCGGAAAGTGGCACTGTCATGCACAGTGACGGAAAATCAATTGGTAGATGATCATTTTAGCTTGGAAATGGTCATTTTTAGATCACACCTGGTGCAATAGACCATTTTTTTTCACCTGTCTCGAGGATGTTATTGCCAGATGATGATTTTAACCTCAAACTTTTTCGTCGTCGAATTTCGCGTTTGCGATGGAACATCTTCAATAAGAACTGTAAATCAGCGAAGTATTTCTGGGCCATGGCTTTCAGTTTGCTATGCAGGAAATGACCCGAGTTTTTTTTTTTCGGGTTTGCTACACTTATAAGTTGGTTTATAAACCCAATTACACATGTATATGTATATGTATGTATATTAGTTTGTTATATCTACCATAGACCATAGTTTACCAAATTATGTGCGTCAACTTCGTCAACTAAATCCCACAAAAAATCCCATTGAAATATTACCATTTTTGCTGGGTCAAATCACTCATTCCTATGGTTTCACCCCCAAGAAACCAGAATGATGAGTTTAGTAGGGAATTTCCACATCATTGGGACTTTTTTTAGGAGGTGTTTTTTCTATTAGGGGATAGGATTCACCATACCAAAAACCATGGGGTTTCTGTTGATTTTTCAATTTTTCAAGCAAGGTCAGCAAGTCGGTGGTGGCCAAGAAGCACATTAGTGATGCCAAGAGGGGAGCTGCTCCTTGACGCATGGGACGCGCTCGGTCTAGGTCCGATAGGCCGATAGGTCTGGAGATCCAAAAGACCTAAGTTCAAAACCCCTGTTGGTTGATGAAAACCATGGGAAAACCATGGGAAAACGATAGGAAAATGGTGATTTAACCAGCAAAAATGGAGTTCACCAAGTGGGTTAAACATGGTTAAACTGGATGGGTAGAAAGAAATCCTGAATCGTCTTTTGGTATGGGATGATCATGGATGATCTACGTTCACCAGCTAAGAATTTAGGTCATTTTTTGTGTATCTGAGCAGTGGTCAAAAGCCCTGTTGGTTGAGGATTCATGTGGGTAAACCAATGTCATTTTTTACCACCCATGACTTGGAATGGTTAGTTTATACCAGCAACAAAAAGATGATGATTTTTCCGGGGCATGGTTAAGTAAACATGGCAGCCAGTTTTAGCCACATCAAAAAGGGGATTGTACTAACCCATTTTTTTTGGGGGATTTTAGTCAGCCAAAAAGGTCCCATCCCGTTTCCCACCTCACTGGAATGATGGAATGATGGGACTTGGAGAGAAAAAGTCCATATCGACACTTACGCAGAGCTATCTATTTATATATTTGTTTGATCCTATCGAATTCTGGTTCTGATTCGGATTTTAATTCTTTCTTAATCTAATGTTGTCTAATCATGTGGATTTCTTTTTCTAGATTTATCCAGTTCGATACTTCTGTCGATCTGTCCAAAGTAGATCATTCTGCTGTTTATCTGTCTATTTATCCATCTAATTTACTCTACTCTACTCTACTCTACTTCATCTAAATCTAATCCAGTCTAAATCTAAATTTAACCATATCTAAATCTAAATCTAGTCTAAATCTAATCTAGATCTAGAGCTAAATCGACATCTACACCCAATCCAATCTAATTTAATCCATCTATCTATGCATGCATACCTGGAACCCAAATGAGCTCTGTTTTGGCTGGTTTACCCCGCAACTGTGAGAGTTTGATCTTTCAACAGAAGGGTCATTTGGGTATATTTGGCTTCCAGGTATATTATCTGTATATACATGTCTGGGTATATAAATTTGATCACGACCTCACTGTTCTCCCGAGCCCTGGAATCATGGTTTATTTTGGGGAAATCATCCCCTTTTATGGCTGCAAGATTCAGGTTAGTGAAATATTATAACTATAGTATTCATGGGGTTTATAAGCCAACAAACATAACTGGGGGGCACCATCCTGTACCATTTGTGGAGGTTTTTGTTTCACAGTTGGGGTTCCTAGGGTGAAATAGTGCAGACTTGTATTGCGAGCCACACGTGGGATAGACTGTGGCAATCCTCACGGGCTGAAACATCACTCATTTCATATCGCTAGATGGTTTTAAACTATCAAAAGTGGGGACGTTCTGATGCTAGGATATGCTAGCTTGATTCTATTCTCATGATTTTTGTATATTTTTGTCCTCCCATCTTCATGCTCTTGGTAAAATCACGGTAAATTCCGAAAAAACTGGTGGTCACACCCCGAATTGGTCGAATTGCTGGTGGTTAAATCCAGATGTTCCACCAGCATTTCCAAGCAATTTCCTCTGGGTTGGTGACCGGATTCTTGCGGAAATGGAGGTTTCCTAAGTCATAGGGTGTGGCCCCAAATCCAAATTAGACCATGACTTGGTATTGAAACAAACATGTTGATCCCAGTCGGCATTGACGCCATCGCTCAGCCGACAGGTGTTGAAGAAGGCCGACTTCGAGGCTGACTCAGCGCCTTTTGGCTGGAACTTGGTGGCTCACTTGCCACGAATCCGAAGATATATAGATATATTCATTGGATTGGTTTAAGGGAAAATCTACAGGAAACCATGGTTTTTACCATAAAGATCATGGGGCTTTCCTGTAAATTTTCCCTTAAACCAATCCAATGATATATCGTCTTAAACCGTGGGTTTTTATGGCTAAAATCCACGTAAAATTCACGAGGTGAATCCACTAGATCACTACTGGATCACTATCTGGGATGAAGCGCTAAGTCGCTAAGCAGCACATATATTTTTTTTGGGATGGAGATATGAAGGACAAATGGGAATGGGTACGGAATTTCAACGCCCAACAGTTGGGATATCCAGAAAAAGTTCACTGAAACTTCCAAGCGATTTGCCTCCTGAGGTGACAACTTCCAACTTCTTACCATCTGGTAACATACAAAAAACAATGGAACATCACCATGCTATTAATGGGTAAATCTACTATCAGTGGCAATTTTCAATAGTTATGTTAAGAGTATGGGGAGTGAAGGAAGCAAAAATGGAGACATGCAAAAATAAGATGATGATCCCAATTTTGAAACGAACCACCTCAAAATGATAGGCAACCAAATTTCATTCAGTTCATTAAAACCCCCTTGCTAGTGGAGGCCGCCAACCAACTTTGTTGGTTGGTGATGGTTGGTGTACAATAATCATCATAATCATCATAATCATCATCACCAACATATGAGATTATGGTTGGTTGCTATTATGGTAAATCATCAATCTCATCGACGCCGGGTGATTTTTGGTCACCCTCAACTGGACTGGTTACCTGGTTGGGTCGGATTCGATTTTTTAAGAGACCCAGCCATCGGTGAAGGGATGGGAGTCACGAAAAAAACCCGTGGACAAGAACTCTACCCTCTGGTGAACTAACATAGCAATGGAAAATCACCATTTTGAATGGGAAAATCCACTATAAATGGCCATTTTCAATTGCTATGTTAGTTCACCAGAGGGTAAACAGAAACAGTATTGCACGTTACTGCTGGTTGGTGGTTTCATGGTTTACTTTTTTTTTTGCAGCATATGACTGGTTTCATGGTTTACTATTGACAAAAATCTTTGTGAACCACATTTTATCCCCTTCACACTAAAATTTCAGAAAACCACATCGAATCGAAAACTATTGACTAATGGAACTGATGGAACTAAACTTTCATTTCCTATTGACTAAAATATTTGTGAACCACATATTTTGTCCTCTTTTCGGGGGTTAAAAGAAACTCATGGAACTGCTGTGGTTGTCGTCCCATGAGTTCCTGGAAATCCGATGAAAGCCGTTGTTTCTGATGTGTCTGGAATGGTTCCATCATAAAGAAACGACATCTGACACATCTGGAAAAAAAATGTGTGTGGATTAAATGATGATAAAGAAGTTTTCATCATTTTGACATATGGGGCTTTTCCTAAAATGGAAGGACCGCAAAGTCACCATCGCCTTCAATCCTAAGTCATGGTTTAATTTTGGATGATTTTCAGGGTGCCCCCATGACTTAGGACACCTCCATATGATCATAAGTAAAGCTCTAAGTGGCTTATCCCATCTACAAACGGATGAACTATGGTCATTGACCCCTTATGAAATGGGATAACTATGGATAACTATGGTCATTACCCTCTGGTAAACTAACATACCTATGGAAAATCACTATTTTTAATGGGTAAATCAACTATTTCGACTGGGCCATTTTCAAGTTCGCAAACTGTTAGTTTACCAGGCCGGGTAGTCCCTCTATTCTCCGCCCAAACAGCTCACCCCCCGACGCCGAGGTCCTTTGTGGCTCCCACCGCTTTGACCGTCTTCACGGGAAGCCAGGAGGCGCCTACGCCGCTGTGCAGCATCAACTTGGAAGCCAAGCAAGGTGCGGTGCGGCGCTGGATGAAAACGGATCAACATGTAGGACTTAAAAACAAAAAAACAAATTGGGATTTTATAGCTGGTTGGTGCTTTGGAACATGAATTTTATGACTTTCCATTCAGTTGGGAATTTCATCATCCCAACTGACTTTAACTCCATCATTTTTCAGAGGGGTAAGTTGAAACCACCCACCAGATAGGCTTTCACGATGTTTCAAGGAGATTTTGCAGGGAGTGGATGATACAAAAAGGCTTCAAAAAGGGGATTTTGCAGTGGATTTTCAGCATGAAACATGGGGGAGTCCACCGTTCTCCAGGAAACGTCGCTCGCAAGCTGAGCGAGGAGGCGGGGTGGGCTTGGTGTGTCCACACGGTTTGGGGATCTTACGTTGATCATACTATGATCATACATGATCCTCCCACTCCCCCACTCCCCCACACTGTTTGGGGTCTCTTGCCGGATTGCCGGGATATTTTTTTCCCGCAAGAATCTGGACGTCTGGACATTTGGGGCAAAAGCTGAAGAGTTTTCAGGTGAATGTTAGGAAACATGATTGAAATTCGCCTGTTCAGTGGACACGGCCCCAAGTTGCACATGATTTTCCAAACTGCATTTGGGTTTACTTGAACATGTTGGGAAACCCAGATTCCATCCAATGGTGAATCATCTTCCCTCGTTTCCCCATCAAGATTAGCTGCATAGTTTGCTATTCAGGCTCCCTGTGTTCAGGTGTTGGCCATTTCCCCGTCTAGAGTCTAGATTTGATGAATCCTTTTGCCTCCCCAAAGCATCCACTTGGGAATCCATATCTTGGACAAAACCAGAGGGGATAGGTCAACAGTGTCAACAGCTACAGCTATTCATATGAGGCTTTCCATAAATGGGGGTACCCCTATATAAATCATCCATTTTAGATTGGGAATTTCCATTATATATAAACCATCCAGCGACAAAAGGGGTACCCCCATGTATGGAACCCCCCCATATATTTGGGGGAATGTGAAACATCCAGCTATTAGGGGTACCATCTGGGTGCCAGGCTGCTAAGACTCGCCACCTATGAACGGTCCATGGTCTGACTTTGGCTGATCAAGTTGTCGTTTCGATAAAGGGGGTCACAATTCCTCTGAACTCTCCATGGACATGGATGACATATAGTTGGTTCATGTTGCTGAACATTTCATGTAAGATTCCCCGTCTGGTTGGTGGTTTGGAACATGAATTTTATGACTTTCCATATATTGGGAAGAATCATCCCAACTGACTTTCATATTTTTCAGAGGGTTGAAACCACCAACCAGCCACATCATTTTATGATTTTATGTTTTCCATTCCTGCTGTTGCCTAAACCACCACAAATTCACCCGGGATTTACCCACCTTTGGCTGAGAGTAGGTCAGTGTGGTGATGCTCGGCCTGACTGAGACTGCGCAGTATGCGGGCTCCACCAGTGGCAGCAAGGCGCTGGGGGAATACAGGATGGTGCCCCCCCCAGTTATAAAATGGTGATTTAATGGTGGTTCAATGGTGATTTAATGGTTAATATGGTGCTCCCAGTTATGTTTGTTGGTTTATAAACCCCATGAACTATAGTTATACCTACCGTAAACATCCGAAAACCATAGAATTCAGCCACTTTTCTTTCAGCCACTTTTCTTAGGCAACTGAACGCTATCCTTTACGGGGGCCCCATCCTCTCGGGAAGATATGGGAAAATCATAGAGAGTTGGGGCCCCCATTGACAAAATTGCGACTTGCTGGTGAACAGCTCACTCCAATTTCACGATGGTTTATGGAACACAAATAACGAACTGGTATGCATGGGGCTTATAAACTAAGAAACATCACTGGGCCCCACATTGCACGAACATCATGGGAACATAATAGGAAATTCCAATACAAGTATCTTGGGCTGATATTTTAAGGGTTTTACCAATGGGAAATCCACTATGACTGGGCATTCGTTTTTTTTTTTTAAGTGGGTTCCTTGAGCAAATCCAAGCATAATATGATATAACTAGGGTTTATGTTAGATAGTTACCCTCTGGTAAACTAACATAGCTATGGAAAATCACCATGTTTAATGGGAAATTCCACTATAAATGGTCATTTTCAATAGCTAATTTTGACATAACCAGGCCGGGTAAATATATCGAACTAGTCATATTTTCGGTCGAAAAACACCCCGCAGTTCATTTTCGGAGTATCATCCCGTGGGTGGGCAACAACGGCTTCACTACATCTGGGTGAATTATAACGACCTCACTGTTCTCCCGAGCCCTGGTTCATCATGGTTAGATTGCGGGGAATCATCCCATTTTATGGCCGCAAGATTCAGGTTGGTGAAATATGATAATTTACCCAGAATACATGGACAACCAGACTTAAATTGTTGATCATTTATGTCGAGACATGGGGAATGTTTCCGAAAGTTTCTGAAAAACTTTTCGAGAACCGGGGGGGAAGTGGTCTTCCTGACGCAAGCCTGGAATTCTGCTTCAGATATAGGGAATCATCCCCAGGAAAGGCCATAATTAGGTGACTGAAATATTGTCACCCAATTTGACCCAGATCTTTATTCTCCATGATAGTCCTTTTGTGGGTCAACATCCATTCAGACTGGCGACTGGCGAGCTTGGCTCGGACGGCAGGAAGAGCTGTTGGAGGACATCAGCAACCCAAGCAACTGGCTCCGCGACGCCTCCCGAAACTTGGAAAATGGGTTTGTCTGGAAGCAGAATCGCAGGGATTATCATCATAGTCCATCATATTCCCCGATTCAATGGCAATTCTTGGACAACCCAAACCCTAAGTTTCGCAAATATCTTTGCTGTCCTTTGTTTTGAGAGTCTGGGCGCGGCCCAACCATCTTTTTTTCCATAGGGATATGCCGGGATATGGGTCAAAACCCATGGATCATAAGGAATAAGCCCAAAGAGTATCCCCAACAGCCAGAAACAAAAACAGTTGCCAAACACGCAATGAGTGAAATATGTTTATTGCCCCTCCCTTCTTACTCTAGAGGTCGGGCGTGCAAGGCGCAATCACAGCACAAACACTTTATGAAAAAACGCTTTTCCAAAAGCGTTTGCAATACAGTGGCCAATATTCTCGAAGCTCGTGCGAAGTTTTTTTTTCTCCCAAAGAACTGCTGTCCGCCTCACTCTTCGCTTCATCTACCTAACATACATCATCCACATCTCTTATGTCCTTTACATCATCTACATCTTCTATACCATCTTCTACACCATCTTCTCTAGGTCTACATCTACATCTACATCTACACCATCATCATATCATCATCATCATCACCATCATCATCATCACCATCATCATCACCTACATCTGCCTCACCTACATTATCTACACCACCTGCACATTTTCCCATCAACTTCATCTATATGACATGCTTTATCTACAACACATGCATTACCTACATCATCATCATCATCGTCGTCGTCGTCATCATCATCATCATCACCATCATCATCATCATCGTCATCATCTATCTCACCTACACCATCTACATCGCCTACACAATCTTTTTCCATTAGCCTAAATTAACCTCATCTACATGACATACATCATCTACAACGCATACATGACCTACATCATCATCTATATCACTGCATCCCCTACATCACCTACATCTTCAAACTGATCTAACCTTACATCACTTACAACATCATCGTCATCATCTACAACATAGACAACATCACCTACATCAGCTACAGGTGATCAACTTCTAGGAAACTCCTACAAAACTTGAAAAATGCAATTTACACAGGAGTTGACTTGCAGGTGATCCACTTCTACTGGAACTCCTACAAGACTCCTGCCTGCAAGGTCATTTGCACAGAAATTGTTACACAGGAGTTGCTACACAGGAGTTCAGCTAACTTCCAGGTGATCAAATTGTATCTGAACTCCTGCAAAATCAGACTTCTCCAGTTCTTCTATTTCTCTCTGGCGGCAGGGACAGCCAGGCGGTGGCTTACGAAACGTTACCCTCTGCGGCGCGTCGGACACCCAAACGTGTAGCGAAATGCGAAACTTCTTTGCCCGCAGCAACCATCTGCAGATCGTGCGTTTCGAACGCCCAAGCATGTGGTGGAATGTGAATTTCTTTTGGGCACCGGCAACCCTCTGCAGAGATCGCGCAGGTCGGACATCCAAATATGTAGCAAAATGCAAATTTGGTGGGACCCGGCGCAGCCCCTTAGGGTCAACCGTCAAAAATTGGTGTAAAATTGTGATTTTGAAGGTTCAGATGCAAGCGTGGCATGAAAGTCAAACCGCAATAACTGTGGGAAAACGGAAGTTTTTTCACGTCAGATGCAAACGTTCAAGAATTGGTGTAAAATTGCGACTTTACCCATTTTGAAACGTCAGGCGCAACCCTTTCAGGCAAAATGGTTGTCCAACGTCAAAAATTGTGATTTCCAACGCCGGATGCAACCCTTTCGCACGATATGATGGCCGAACGTCAAAAACTTACGTAAAATTGCGATTTTTTGAAGTGTGTAAACGCTGCTCTATGGAATCGTTTTTTCTGTGGGAAAGCGTTTGTGTGTAAAGGCTTCTCTGTGTAAAAGCTTCTGTGCGTAAAAGCCCCCGTGTGTACAAGCTTCTGTGTGTAAAAGCTCCTGTGCTCAAAAGCTTCTCTGTGTAAAAGCTTCTGTGGAAAAGCTTGTGTGTGTAAAAGCTTCTGTGTGTAAAAGATTCTCTGTGTAAAGGCTCCTCTGTGTCAAAGCTTCTGTGATTCCCTGAAAAGAATCTGCGTCTAAAAGCTTCTGTGTGCATAGGCGTGTATATGTCAAAGCGTATCTGGGTAAATGCTTCTGTGTGGAAAGGCATCTGTGTTCAAAAGCTCCTGTGTGTAGAAGCATCTGCCGCATCTGTGTGAAGAACTTTTGTGTAAATGCCTGTGTAAAGACCTGTCTGTGTAAAAGCTTGGGCATTTGCGTGTTTAAAGTTTCTGTGTGTATAAGATTGTGTAAGCTGCTCTGTGCAAAGGCCTCTCTCTGTGTAAAAGCTTCGGTGTGTAAAAGCTGCTGTGTGTAAACCCTGCTCTGTGAACAAGCTTCTATGCGTAAAAGCGTTTGTGTGTAAAGGCGTGTGTGTAAAGCTTTTGTGTGTGTAAAGATTTTGTGTGTAAATGCTTCTGTGTAAAAAAGATGCTGTGTAGAGGCTTCTCTGTGTAAAAGCTTGTCTGTGTAAAGCTTATGTGTAAAGACTTCTGTGCGTAAAAGCCTGGGGGCGTCTGTGTGCAAAAGCTGCTCTGTGCATCTCTGTGTAAAAGCGTCTGTGTGTAAAAGCTGCTCTGTGTAAAGGCCTCTCTGCGTCAAACCTTCTGTCTGTAAGCTCTGTGAACAAGCTTCTATGCGTAAAAGTGCCTGTGTGTAAAAGCTCTGTGTGTATGTGAAGCTTTTGTGCGTGTAATGCTTCTGTGTATAAAATATGCTCTGTTTAGACGCTTCTCTGTGTAAAAGTTTCTCTATGTAAAGCTTCCGTGTGAAAACCTTTGTGCGTAAAAGCTTCTCTGTGTAAAGGCCTCTCTGCGTCAAAGCTTCGGTGTGTAAAAGCTGCTCCGCGTAAACGCTGCCCGGTGCAAACAAACCTGAGTGTAAAAGCTGGTCCGCGCAAAGGTTTCTCTGTGTGAAAGTAAAAACCGTTTGTGCTCAAAGTTCCTTCCCGCAAACGTTTGTCTGTGAAAACGCTTCTCTGTGCAAAATCTTCTCTGTGTAAAAGCTTCTGTGTGTGTAAAAGCTGCTCTTGTAAAATGCTTCTCTGAGTAAAAGCTTCTGTGTGTAAAAGCTTCCGTTTGTAAAGGCATCTCTGTGCAAAGGCTTCTGTGTAAAAGCTTTCTTGTGAAAAGGCTGTAAAAGTTTCTGTGTCTAAAAGCTTCTTTTTTGTAAGGCGTGTGTGTTCAAAAGCTCCTGTGTGTAAAAGCTTGGGCATCTGCGCGTTAAAGTTCCTGTGTGTAAAAGCTTCTTTGTGAAAAAGCGTCTGTGTGTAAAGCTGCTCTGTGTAAAGGCTTCATGTGGTAAGGCTTTTTTAGAAAAGGCTTTTCTGTGTAAAAGCTTCTGTATGTAAAAGCGTCTGTGTGCAAAAGCGTCTGTGTAAAAGCTGCTCTGTGTAAATCCCTCTCTGTGTAAGGGCTTCTGTGTGTAAAATCTTCTCTGTGTAATTTTTTCGCTGTGTAAAAACAACATGTCTTTTGATTCTGACTGTCGCTCAGGTGCCAGCCCTGGAGCAAACCCTCTGCGGGGACAAAAAAGGCATGAAATTGTGGATATATGACATTTGACTCGCGTCAGCTATCATTCATCATCATCTCCATCGCCATTCATCCTCGTCATCGTCATCGCCATCATCATTGCCGCCATCATCATCATCACCATCATCATTTTTCTTGTGTATTATCTTCTTGTCTCCTCCCTCCTGCTTTCTTTCATGCCACGCTGTCGTCTAGTGTTTTTATCCATGTGCGAGTGCCGTATCATTTTTTGAAGCGAAACTAGTTCTTCAATCTCTCCGTTCCATTATGAAACCAATTCTTCAAACTTTGAAGTATTCTGTTGTTCAATGTTCTTGGAACCTTGCCTGGGCAACTGTTCTTGGACACGTTGCTTGACAGTTGTTTATCGGAACCTTGCTTGGGAACCGTGCTTGGGAACCTGTTCTTGGGAGCCTATTCTTGGGAACCTGCTCTTGGGAGCATTGCGTGGTAACCTGGGAACTCTCTCTTGGGGACCTGTTCTTGGAAACTTTGCCTGCTTGCTTCAAACCTGTTCATTGGGACCTTACTCGGGAATCGGTTTTTCGGAACTTTGCTTGGGAACTTTGTTTAGGAACCTGTCCTTCGGAACCTTGCTTGGGATTCTGTTCTTGTTTCCAACCTTGCTTGCAGATGTTCTTCGGAATTTCGCTTTGCAAGTGGATCTTGGAAAGCTGTTCCTGGGAACATGAGCAACCTGAAACCATGCTTGGGAACGTGTTCGTGGGAACCGTGCTGGCAACCTATTCCTCGGAACCTTCCTAGAGAATGTGTTCTTGGAACCCGAACCTGTTCTTGGGAACCTGTTCTTCGAACCCTTGCTTGGGAACCTTGCTTGGGGACCTGTTCGTGGAAACCTTGCTTGGGAACCTGTTCCCAAGGACCTCGCTTGGTAGCCTTGCTACCGTGCAAGGAAACCTGTTCTTGGAACCCTTGCTTGAGAACTTGAGGCGCTGTTCTTGCGAACCCTTGCTTGTGAACCTGTTCTTGCGAAGCTTGCTTGCAAACCTGTCCTTGGGAACCTTGCTTGGGGACCTGGTCGTGGAAACCTTGCTTGGGGACCTGTTCCCAAGGACCTTGCTTGGTAGCCTTGCTACCGTGCAAGGAAACCTGTTCTTGGAACCCCTTACTTGGGAACTTGAGGCGCTGTTCTTGCGAACCCTTGCTTGGGAACCTGTTCTTGCGAAGCTTGCTTGCAAACCTGTCCTTGGGAACCTTGCTTGGGGACCTGTTCGTGGAAACCTTGCTTGGGAACCTGTTCCCAAGGACCTTGCCCGGTAGCCTTGCTACCGTGCAAGGAAACCTGTTCTTGGAACCCTTGCTTGGGAACTTGAGGCGCTGTTCTTGCGAACCCTTGCTTGTGAGCGAACCTTGCTTGGGAACCTGGTCTTGGGAACCTTGCTTGGAAACCTGTTCCCAGGAACCTTGCCTGGATTGCTTGCGAACCTATTCTTGCAAACTTTTTTTGCAACCTTTTCTTGGAAACCTGTTCCTGGGAACCTTGCTTGGGAACCTGTTCCTGGGAACCTTGCTTGACAACTGTTTCTGGAACCCTTGCTTGGGAACCTTGCCTGGGAAGCTGTTCTTGGGAACCTGGCTTGGGAATCGTTCCTGGTAACATTGCTTGCGAACCTGTTCCTGGAAAATTTGATTGGAAATCTTATTCTTGGGGTGGCTGAAGACCCCAAGCTTACGCTGTTGGGGAAAAACGTTCCCAAGCAAGTTCCCAGGAAGAGGCTCCCAAGCAGGTATCCAGGAAGAGGTTCCAAGCAAGGTTAAGTTCTTAGGAACCGCTTGCAAGTACGGTTCCCAAAAACGGTCCCCAAGCAAGGTCCCAGGAACCGTTTCCAAGCAAGGTTCCAAGCAGGAACAAGGCTCGCAGGAACAGGTCCTCAAGAAAGCGTTCCCAGGAAGAGCTGGTTCCAAAGCAAAATTTCCGGGAGCAACTGGGAACCCTTGCTTGCGAACCTCTTCCTGGGAACCTTGCTTGAAACCCTCTTCCCAGCAACCTTGCTTGAGAAGCTGTTCCTGGGAACCTTGCTTGGGAACCTTTTCCTGGAAACATTGCCTGGGAACTTTTTCCGGGAACCTTACTTGTGAACCTGTTCTTGGAAAACTTGTTTGGGAACGTGTTCCTGGGAACCTTGCTTGGGAACCTCTTCCTGGGAACCTTGTTTGGGAACGTGCTTGGGAACCTTACTTGTGAACCTGTTCTTGGGAACCTTGTATGGGCACCTGTTCCTGGGAACCTGTGGCTGGGAACCTTGCTTGGGAACCTCTTCCTGAAAACATTGCTTGGGAACTAGCTTGCTGGGAACCTTGCTTGGACACCTCTTTCTGGAAACCTCTTCCTGGAAACACATGTTTGAAAACCTGTTCTGGGAACCTTGTTTTGCTTGGAAAAGCATGTTCCTGGAAATCTTGCTTCGGAAACTTGCTGGGAACCTTGCTTGGTCCTGGAAATCTGTTCCTGGAAACACTTGCTTGAAAACCTGTTCCGGGAACCTTGTTTTGCTTGGGAAACGGTTCCTGGAAACCTTGAAAACGGTTCCTGAAATCCGTGCTTGCAAAACCTGTTCCTGGGAACCTTGCTTAGGAACCTTGCTTGGGAACCTGTTCTTGGAAACCTCTTCCTGGGAACCCTTGCTTGGGAAGCTCTTCCTGAGAACCTTGCTTGGGAACCTCTTCTTCCTCCCCTTCCTGGGAGCCCTTGCTTGGGAACCTCTTGCTGGGAACCCTTGCCTGGGAACCCTTGCTTGGGAACCTGTTCCTGGAAACCTCGCTTGGAGAACCTGTTCCTGGGAACCTTGCTTGGAAACCTTGCTTGGGAACCTCTTCCTGGGAACGTGGGAACCTCTTCCTGGGAATCCGGTTCCCAACCTTGCGCTGTGCGGATTTGGCTGCTCCGCCGTGCGGATTTGGCTGCTCCGACCTGCTCCGGAACCTTTACTATGGCTGAAGACCCGAAGCGTACGCCGTTGGGGAAAAATATGTTCCTGGATATCTTGCTTGGGAAATGTTGCCTGGAAACCTTGAAAACGGTTCCTAGAATCCGTGCTTGCAAAACCTATTCCTGGAACCTTGCTTGAGAACCTGTTGCAGCATCTTCATCTTCACCCTCGGCGATCATCGCCTCGATGTAGTCCTCCTCAGTCAAGTCCTCTGTGTGATAGTTTTCTGACTGATCCTGAACTTCCTATACCGTCAGTGCAGTTTGGTCATAAACCTTGGTTCTCAACTTCTTCTGACCTGTGACATCCATGAAGAAACTGGCACCTAGAAGACGGATGCTTTCACCTACCTTCTTGATAGTCAGTTTTCCAGTGGCAGCTTGATCCCCTTCGAGGATCACTCGCTTCTTGTCATCTGGACCTAAGGTTGAACCCCTCAGGACAATGAACGCCTGGAGGTCTTCAATGGACATCTTTCTGGACAGAAGGCGACTCCAAAGGATATCTGATCTGGCCAAGTATGAATCGTTTGATTCATTTGGACGCTGTTGACAGTGAAAAAGAGCTTGCTCTGCATCATCGAATTGCTTCTCCAAAGGAATACGACCCCAGTTACCACCCAAAATAGTGATCAGCTTCTGTACTGACGTAACATCATTCGTCAACAGTTCGGCTTGATGCAACTGTAGTTTTTGGAAGGCACTTTCCTGGCAGTTCAGAATTAATTGAGTAACTAATTCTATGTATTTATCCTTCGGCCATGCAGCAGTGACTAGCTCAACCTTTTGCTGGTAAATCAGCATGTCATCTTTGGCATGGTCAAACGTCGGCACCAAGTACGCCAGCTGGCTGCTGACATTGGCAGTTGAACCTGTTTCACCAGTCCCAGTTTCTGCAGTTGATCCGGGCTCTGGCATCTATCACCCTCCCTGGATGCTCTCCAAAATGGGAGCTCCGCTCTACCAATGTAAGTGGGGTAGCACCACACACAATTCCCAACCTGATCTCCACCAAGCGCAGCTGAGTTTTCCAAGCAGCAGCAATGTCAAGGCTCCCAAGCCTCTGATGGAACGGCCACGTTCCAATATGCGAACCCGGTCGCAATGCAGCCTATGGCGCCTAGACACTACCACTGCCCTCCCACCTCGGGACACCTGAGCCACAGTGTCTTGCAAGAGAGTCAGTTTTGACCTGACCGGGAACTGCACGACGGCACCTGGCCTAGTCTCTGCATCCGGGTCACCCGGCGAGAGAACGTAGGTAGGTCCGTTTTGATTACCCATTGGACCCACTGGAGTGTTGGTTGATGCATCCATGGTATCACATTGGAAAATCACAATGTATATATATATATATATGTATATATATATGTATATATATATATATGTATATATATATATATATATGTATATATATATATGTATATATATATATATGTATATATATATGTATATATATATGTATATATATATATGTACATATATATATATATGTAAATATATATATATGTATATATATATATGTAAATATATATATGTATATATATATATCTATATCTATATCTATCTCTATCTATCTATCTATCTATCTATCTGTCTATATATATATATATGTGGATGACCATGAATTAGTATTGAAACGAGCCCCCCATTTTCAGAACCGCCAGTATCTATCAGTAAAGATTCATAAAGCCAACCTTTGATACTTATCTTCACCAACTAAACATCTTTTCTGCCGAGGAAAGCTGGCCGGATTCAGCATTGCCAATGGTGGTGGCAATATGACCGAGACCGAGTCCACCAGCATGATGCTCGGCAACGCCACGGTCACCGTCAGCACCACCGTGACCACCGTCGTCACCATGACGGACACCGCCACCGAGACCACCGTCGTCACCATGACGGCCACTGGACTTTTTTTTCCTGGACCACGAATATGAGTAGACTACCTATGACGAAACGTACCTCAAAACACACACCTATAGGGGCCATACGTGCATTCATACATTATCATACATTATCATGCAAATTGTTCCTTTCACCTTTCGTTCGTTCATTGTGTTGTTCGTTCGTTCGGTCAGTCGGGTCTTCTTCCTTTATCATTCATTTAAGTTTATGTTTCCTTCATCCATTCACTTGTTGAGTCATTCATTCGTTCGCTCAGTCCTGCATTTTCATTCAATCATTTACGAACTGATTAACCCAACTCTTTTGTTGTTTCATTCATTCATTCGTTCGTTCGTTCGTTCGTTCGTTCATTCGTTCGTTCGTTCGTTCGTTCATTTGTTCAGTCACTCATTCCTTGATTCACCCGGAAAACCACTCGCTATTCAGTCGCGGTAAACAGTGTCACTATCCTAAGCTCTCCATCTCCCTATGGTATATCACGATTCGAGAATGGGAGAATGGGGTATAGTATAGTGGGACATTATTTTTTTTTTCCCATGAGAAATGTCCCATCCCCCTAATTCTAAATTCCCCCACTGGTTCGGGGGATGCCCCAGAAACGTGTCGTGGCCCGGGTGGCCCTTTGGAACCCGGATGATCTCCATGTTGAAATCTGTTGAAATCAGTTTAGATCCATTTAAAACCATGATATTAAAATCATTTAAAATCCATTATTCAAGGTAAATCACGTATTTACTTACAACATCTTACAACTGATTTCGCTATATTCACACTTCCATTTTATTTTCAATCCATTCACATCTATGGTTTTGCTATACTATACATCTTCATCTCGATGCTAAACATTCTCCATGTTTCAATCCATGAAACTAGGTTAACCAACTGGATGGGTAGAAACTAATCCTTTAGTCTTTTGGTATGGGAGTATCTACGTTCACCAGCTAAGAATTTGTTATTTCTTGTAGGGTATCTAGCAATGATTAAGATTAATGTGGGTTAAAACAATGCCAGAAACCACCCATGACTGGGAATGATTCATAAAGTTTATACCACCTATAATTACAAACATGATGACATTGAATATGGTTGATTATTGTTTTACCAACATTACCTTCCGGGATGATTTGATTGCGGATAGGATTCTTTTTGGGACTTACCCAAAAAAAACAGCACAATAGTGATAAATCAAGCATCAACTTGGTGGTATGGTTGCACAAACCAATCAAACCGTGTGATTGATTTGACTATTAAAATGGATCTAGAAATGATCTCCATAAAAATCTCTTGAAATCAGTTTAGATCCATTTCAAATGTGATTTTTCAGATCTTTTTTGGGTCCTAAAGAGGGGCACCTCCCCGGAGCCCACGGATGCGCCGGAGGCCACCACGACGAACCTCGAGGGTTTCGGCGACGGCGGCGACGAGGGACCCCCGGATGCCGCCTGCCACAGCGGCCTGGCCTTCGGTGACTTGGTGAAGTCAGTTGGGAGGTCTGACTGTAGCAAGAAAGACGACTATTTTTTTTTCTCGAAGATTTGTATCTTATAGAATTATATGTATATATATATATTTATAATTGTGTATATATATATGTGGTTGGTGGTTTGGAACATGAATTTTATTCTTCCATTCAGTTGGGAATGTCACAATCCCAACTGACGAACTCGTATTTTTCAGAGGGGTAGGCTCAATGACCAACCAGATATTATATTATATACCCTCTGGTAAACTAACATAGCTATTGAAAATGGCCATAGAAATAGTTGATTTACCCATTAATAGTATGGTGATTTTCCATAGTGCTGGGACTGTATATAATGTTGATTTTAATGGATCTTTCTAGTTGATTTTTTGTTGATTTTAAGTTGGTGAAAGAACTGATTTATCACTGGGCGAAGGTGGTAGATCTAGCTCGGACGGTCTGCAGCAACGCTGCACACGGCTTGGCCGCAGTGCGGCAGCAACATTTATGGCAGATATGATATCGAAGTTAATGAGGTGTATCACTGGATTGGTTTAAGGGAAAATCTACAGGAAACCATGGTTTTTACCATCAAATATAGGGCTTTCCTGTAAATTTTTCCATCATCCCATTCTATGAGGTGTAACTAAACCAAAAAATGAGGCGTAGCGATGCAGCGATGAAATTTTTCGGTGAACATTGAAGATAACAACATCCAATCCTTCTCCTGATGGGGCTGAAAAAAAGACAACCAAAGGCTCTCAATGATCTCATCATGAAACAAATCATAGAAAATATTGAGCATGCTGTAGGATTGACCACCAAAATTGAGTGGCCCGTTGTTTGTTTTCAAAACCGGAGGATACCCTGTATTATTATATGCTGATTTTTGTGGGAAAAGTTTCTTGAACCACAATTAGGTGGATAATAGCCACACAAGGAGATTTTGGTTTTCTGGGGAGTAGATACCTTTACCATTCTTTTTGCCATTTATCCCACTAGTTTTCAACTGTAACATCACCAATTTCTAGGGGAAATAATATGATTTAGCAATGACACATGTGATGTATATAGCTATTGAAAATCGGGTCTGAATGGTGTGTATATATATATAATATTATTATATATATATATATATAATTATTATTATATGTATATATATATATATACACATACATATAATATGTGGCTGCAGGCTTCAGGGTGGTTTCGGGCGTTCTCCAAAACGGTGTTTTTGAGACTGGTGTTTTTACAATCTGTGGGACGACACAGCTGCAAGAGCGCAAGTAGCGACAGCAGCACAAGTGTAAGCGACACTTCTGCAGCATACATCTAAGTGTAGCTGCCACAACACAGTTGCGAAATAAAGAATACTGGTTGGTGGTTTGGAACATTTTTTATGTTTCCCTATATTGGGAATAATCATCCCAACTGACTAATATTTTTCAGAGGGGTTGAAACCACCAACCAGAAAACTATGTAAAATCCATCAAATATCCCACTAGATGATGTCATCGTAGATGATGGGACTTGGGGGGGGAATCATCCCAAACTCACCGCTACCCCTTACATGGACCGGCCCACAAGTCATGCAATTGGTGCAGTGCATGCCACCAGGGGTTCATTTGTGCATTTCAGAAATCGTACGTTGTCTTTCAGCCCTACACCGAATATATCCCGTGTATTTTTTCGGGGTATATGGTTATAAACCACGGATCCTAGCTGGGATACATCCAGTAAACTAACATTGGCTTTTCACCGCTTGTAGATGATTTACCTGAATTTAGCTATATGGGTATGGGTCAATACCTATAGATACATTTTTAGTGGGATGAAACATCCATTTACCAGCTATTTTGGGGTTCACTAGGTACCAGGGTTTTGACCCATCCCCATATGAAAAATGGTGTTTTTCTTCGGTTCCCAAACTGTTCGTTTACCAAAGTGTACCCTTCGGTGAATCAAGCTCGGCTGTGGCCAATCCTCGAGGTGTGCTGATGGCAACCTGGCAATTCAGTGTGGCCAAACCCTGGGGCCAATACCATTGTTGATTGGTGGGGGATTCTACCTGGTTTAGGGATGACATGACAAGCTACAAGCCATAACCGGAATACTTCCCAAGCAGTATGGGATGGGATAGGGATAGGGATAGTTTTAATGGCTCAAATGGATGAATATTACATGAATATTACGTATTGCGTCAACATGGTGAATACAACGAACAGCACATGTTGGGATCGCCATGGCAGTTGTTGTGTACATGGTGCGTCCAAGAATGGGCTACACATCCCCGGAAGTGCGATTTTTGATAAACCGGAAACATGACGAGGTAAAGCAACAAATTTGGAGGTCCATGTTTAGACAAACAATGTGTCTAGATTGTACCGTAGGGTAAACTAACAGTTCGATGTGGAAAAACCCACCATGAGAGTAGATCATTTTGCAAACCATGCGGTTTCCACATCTATTTAAGTATGTTTACCCTAGGGTATCTTACAAAAGATCCCTACTATAGTGGATGAAACTTCCATTGATATCCATTTCTAGTGGATTTTGACCCATACCCAGATGTTATTTACCACACAGTTTTTAGCATTCGTTACCTCTCCGTTTCCCGGGGTGCAGCCAAATCTGGGCCGGCTTGGGGACATCATCTCACAGTTTATCTATCTACATGGAGGTTTCCTAAAATTGGGGGTACCCCCAATCATCCATTTTTGTTTGGGATTTTCCGCGAAAAAAAACAACAATCCGTTTTGGGGTACCCCCATTTATGGAAACCCCCAATATGTGCATGATTGGATTATTCTAGATGTTTCCTCTTTGGTAATTTAATATGGCAATGGAACATAACAGCAACGGGAAACACTGTACTATGTCATTTACAGTAACCAGATGGGGGATTTTCCACAAGCATGTTACATTACCAGAGGGTATGAACCACAAAAATGGAAGCCCCACATTCTCGATTTGCTGGCCGAAACTGGTGTGTCCACCGGACCATGATTGCTTGAGGTAGGTAGGGTATCCTCCGGTACTTGACATCAACATATGGAAACTTGCCCGTTTGTAGATGATATACCTATCAAAAATGGTGCTTTTCCACGTCAAAGGCCACGAGGCTAGGACTTCACATGGTCTGAAGAATTCTGTCACCCAAAATCTCTTACAGTGAATTGATAATCATCTTCCCCATGACTGACAAATTGCATCATGGCCGTACAATTTTTGGTATACTAATACTAACTGTTCTTAGCCCAATTTGTGGATAGTCCCTCATCTTTCTCGCGGCTGGAAAAAAACAAGGTGATGGGACACCTGATGTGATCTTTTTGGGGCATGACGGAAGGTAGACGTCCTTCCGCCCCTCTTGGGGAAGCCAATGCGGATGGTTTGTTAAGGTTGCTTTGGTGGGTATAACCATGATGAAATAACCCTCATAAGTTGGGAATAGTTGGGATATAGGGGCCCTATAGCTATAGTGATATTGCCCTCTGGTAATTTAACACAACTATTGAAAATCACCATTTTCAATAGTTATGTTAGTTTACCAGAGGGTATCCACTTACAACTGAAACTGCCCTTGCAAGTGGACATTTCCACAGGTGTTTTCATTGTTTTCGTAGCTTCGTTTGAGACGTTCGAGACGTGATGGTTGTTTCAACATCTGTCATATGTGCCATGGTCAAGTTACACGGATTGTATTCCCATAGCTAGGTCAACCAACTGGATGGGTACAAACTCATCCTGAATCGTCTTTTGGTATGGGATGATCTACTAACTAACCAGCTAAGAAGTTGTCATTTTTTGATATTTTTCGTAGGGTATCTGGCTGATTGGCAATGATATATATATATATGTACATATATATATATTATAATATGTGTCTATATGTATTTGTATATGTGTATGTATATATATATGTATGACATACACCCTATGGCTCCATTTTCAGTTGGGGATTCCCTTTGGCGGGATGACAAAACATGAGTCCGGAGGTTTTCCGGAGGTTTCCGGGGGGTAGCCCCGAATCATCCAATAGCTGGATGGTTTATTTCATGGAAAATCCCTATGGAATTGGATGATTTTTATTGATTTTTGGGATGGAAAAAGCCGGCTAGTTTGGATGATTTGGGATTTTCAAAATGAAACAAAACATAAAAAGCTTGGTATTTGGGTATCCCCATTTATGGAAAGCCTCATAGTAAAAAAGTGGGGTATCTTCAGATCCAGCAGCAACAATATTCGGTGTGAGCAAGGTCCTGGGTCCTATAGCGTACCAGAGGAAGAGACATGTTTTGATATACCCTTTGGTAAACTAACATAGCTATGGAAAATCACCATTTTTAATGGGAAAACTCACTATAAATGGCCATTTTCAATAGCTATGTTGAATTACCAGAGGGTATCCGGCATACATCCTTTCACAAGGTGGCCTCACACGGTGTACGTTGCCCATCATAAACTGCTGCTTAACGCATGTGAAATTCAGTGATTATCCAGCCACGGTCGATCAAAAAGAAGCTGCGGGAGTGGACCAACTCCCGCGCATCCGCGTTGGACCAACTTTGGCCGAGAGGGGCTATTTTTGGCTTTCTGCTGGTGCCCGAAAGTGGAGGGAAAAACCGCGCCAGCCAGGATGAAATCATCCTCGGCCAGCCAGGAATGTTCAGGACATATCCATCCATTTTCTCAGATTTTTCGTTGATGATCCCATAGGGTTAAAATGTCATCACTGATCCCCCAGAAAGTCATCACCTTTTTTTTTTGGTGGTATGAAAACTAATCCCATTCCGTCAGTCATGGGTGGTAAAAAGGACATATTGTTTTAACCATAATTATGAGTAATTCTATGCTAATCTCCATATATCTTTGCTGGTTAAATCACCATTTTCCTATGGTTTTCCTATGGTTCTCCGTATATTATGGTTAATCACGATCATCAGATCATGGGATGAGAATGGCATGATCGTCCCCAGAGGATTTTGCCCAACCCCAGGTGCCATTTTCAACAGGTGAGTTATTACAATTCAGCCAGATCATCTGGGTGAGTTTTTTTTACGTGTTGCTGGTTGCTTGTTTCAAACATGAATTTTATTTTCCATAGTATATGGGATGTCATCCTTCCCATTGACCAATATTTTTCAAGATGGTTAAAACCACCAACCAGGTTGTATGAACCACGAAAGCTATGGTGATTTGAAAAATGGGAGATTGAAGGAGACTTCGAGATGATGGATTAGAACGCCAGATTTCCATACAGAAACTGGTTCAAGTCATTCAGATTCTCAATTTCCGATGATCATTTCAAGGATTGTACATTGTTTAACTTATGAATCTATTGCTTTAGCATGCAGATCTAGATGTTTCATGATGTTTTTCTGTTTTGAGATTCGATTGATTTGAGTTTTGACCATATTTGCCTCGAAACTTAATCCACTTTCGCAGGGGTCAACATCCTTGACCAAGGAAATGTAGCAGGATCTTCCCGAAAAACGAACCCCCAGGAACTGGATGAACTGGAGCCGTGGAAAGTATCAGATATCCCCTTAAATCCCCAACAAAACTGACTTGGATCATTCAGAGACGTGACTTTCGGGCGACCAGAAATACGCTGTACGGACCTGTACGCAGGAAGTTCTCACACCTGCTTTTCCTACGCGGAATTGGGCGTGCAGGTGTACTTTTTGGTGCCAATGATCCCATACGGTGGCATCTATTCTGACATCTATATAACTGACAGAAATCATACCAACTTTTACCATTGGGAGGAACATTTTTCCAAGCCTGCTTAAAATTCACTATACATCACTATACTAGTGTCTACATAAATGGCTTTGATGTTGCCTGACTTTATATCGTTAGAACTGTGGGATGGCTGGCTCAACCAGTCGAAGATCGCATTTTGAGGGCCAAAGATCTCGTTGTCAGGATCCAATTTGGGGCAAAGGCTTGTCAATCTTGTCAGGGACTCTTCTCCCAAGTTATGGGAATGTTTTGACCATACATCCATGGTTCGATCCCGTTTCAGGGCTAAGAATAAATTGAATACACACATATGATATTAGAATATATTAGAATATATTAGAATATATTAGAATATATTAGAATATATTAGAATATATTAGAATATATTAGATTATTGTATTCCCACTTTCCATATCTTTAAATCCCATCAGCAATCACCTTAAATCAAAATCATTCCTGCTCGACAATTCCTGCACGCACCGAGTTCCACCACGCTGTCGACGTCTCACCCTGCAACAATTCGTCCGAATAGTTCGACGCCGGCGTTCCACCGCGGTCTGAACGAAGTTTCAGGCGGTCTGAACGTCCCGGAATTGTGGAAAGCTCTGAAAGAAATGGGGGATACGGATATGGATATATATATATATGTATGGATGGATGATGTTGGATGATTTTTGCTGAATGGACATGGTGGATGGATATGGATGGATTGCCACTGTGGTTTCATATAGAACATATTTCTTTTTTCATCGTGTTGATTTATGACTGTCTGTTTGTACGTATTTATTCATGGAGTAAATGTGTTTTATCATACCTATTTCCTGCAATAAAACTGGGATGGTTATTTTCAACACGAAGGTTTTTCAGGGGGGTTGAAACCACTAAAAAAGATGGGGCGTGAAACTTGGTGTCGATCGCAGCGGGTGGAGATTGGGATGGTCAACATCATGGGTGAATTTGAGGAACCCTATTTTTCTTGGATACCCTCTGGTCAACTAACATAACTATGGAAAATCACCATTTTTCATGGGACAACTCACTATAAATGGCCATTTTCAATAGCTATGTTAAATTACCAGAGGGTAAATTTTGTGCCCAGGTGATGGGAATGTGAAATCATGTCCTCAAGATTTAGATAGACGATAGACTCCGATAGACCCTGAAAATAGCCATTTTTTTTGACAAAAATCTTCCTCCTATTTGGCAGGGTCGAACGGTTCATTTGGGGGATGGTAATGTCCCCCAATGCCCCACAACACCTATCTTCTAGTTAGCCATGGGTTGGTGTTCCTGATATGGGAATTTCGTCGACAGAGCAGATGGTCACGGGTGATGTTTTTGCAGGATATATTCTGCAATATTCTAATCTGGTTGGTGCTTTGGAACCATGGATTTTTATGACTTTCCATCCAGTTGGGAATGGAAAATCATCCCAACTGACGAATTCATATTTTTCAGAGGGGTAGGTATACCACCAACCAGTACCCTATGGTAAATAAACAGTTCGACCCTGAAAATCACCAATTTTCAATGGTTTCACTAGTCTTCCAACCCCGATGACTGCCAGGGTCGAACTGTTAATTTACCAGAGGGTAATATATAATTCATGTGGGAAACCCAATGCCATAAACCTACCCATTTTTGGTGCGTTCCATTCAGTTCCATCGTGAACAATTTGCTTGGCGTTTCTCTTGACGACTCTCGCGAATCAAAGATGACCAGCTGGAAAATCCTCTAAACATCGTGTTTTCTACAACCCAGATGCTCCATGTATGCCATTTTGGGGGTAAATGTAGGTAAATATTCCATACATGGAGCATCTGGGTAATGGGAACATCATTTATAAGTTGCTGTAAATGGTGGATTTTCCAGCAAGCCATGTTTGATTTTCGTTGAAGTACGTAGTTTTTTCGTTGAAGTAACCTCAATGCATGTCACAGGGCGATCGGTCCTTACCCTCTGGCAATTCTACAAACATAGCTACGGAAAATCACCATTTGCAATTATTTGCAATAGGTATATCATATCATCTATGAATGGGCCATTTTCCATAGCTATGTTGAATGACCGGAGGCTGACAAGAATCACACTCCGTGGCATTCTCCTGCTCAGCGCTGCCTTTTTTCGCCGGCACATAGGGCGCGTTGAAGACGCGTTGACGTCCGCTATTTCTGCGCTTGAGATACCGACGTCCCTTGCTTAACGCATTTGGAACCGGGGTTTCCATGTTGGATTTCAGGGGTGTCCCGTTTGAGGTCGGTCTGAGCCATTTAAAAAAACGGAGAATCTTGGGAAAATCCTGAAAAACATGACAATCCCCTACGAATTCGTAGAAGAGGATGGAATATGGTGCAAAGCACAACTGCTTGGAGACTGACAAACCTTTTTACAAAGGGAAGGGGGGCCTTTTCGCGTGTTTTTTTTTTCATCCCAGAAATCAACAATTCTGGGCAAGGCCTAATCAAGGGTCCTGTGTTTTTGTTTTTGCACGCATTCCAGTTTTCATGTGGTTAAAACAATGTCATAAACTAGCCATGACTGGGAATGGTAAGTTTATACCACCTATAAAGATGGTGACT